AATACAATGATATCGCCAAGCTGTGATTATTTCTCCAGGATTGTCAGACAATAGAATAAAGAAAAGTGTATAAGTAGCAGTATCTAACAATCATTTACCCAAATAAGGGTAGTTTTATTTGCAGTTAGCAGATTCTTCAGGAACTCCTACTTTTCAGTACCTTTGGATGTCAAAGTTCAACAGGGTTCATAGGAGCTTCAAATCCAGCTTTGAGTGGTCAGTGTTCAAAAGAATTGCGTCACCGGCGTTAGGGACACTTATCCAGCAAATCCCGTCTGAGTAGAAAGTACACTTCATGGGGACTTAGGCTTGATGTCACCCAGGCCGGATACACACACTCCTCTACCCCATTTCCCCCGGCGACTGTTCCGAGCTGAACCCGAGTCCCTGCCAGACATCGAGCCCACACACCACCACTGAGTTCATCAGGACTGTGGAAGAAGAATACAGCTTTTTGCTTACTTTTACGCAACTGCATCTACAAACTGATCACTTCTGTGAAGGTACACCTGTCCAGTCCTGCAGGTCACAGAACACATCGCAGTCTTGCTTATACAACCATCACCTATCCTATCAAAGCAAAGTCAAGATTTGAATTTTCATCCGACATAACACTCCCTTGACTTTGAGAGAAATGTAAACAAACAATTATGCTGAAAAAGTAATTATGTGCAGAAAAAGCTCGGTAATGCCACCGTTATTATACGAGTGCAGACGTGGATGGCTCCGGTGGGCAACTTGTGCTGAGGTGGCTTAATTAGCAGACTTGCTTTTTCTGGCCATTTTGCTGAACTATTTCAGAAGACGGCTTCGAGATTCAAACACATCGCAGTTTTTCCTAGAACATTATGGAAAGGTGTTGTGGGGCGAGGTGTACTTTCAAATGAGCCAGCTCCTCACAACCGAGCATTTCTCTTTATTAAAAATAGAAAGGATGCGTCAAAACACCAAAATCTGTTCCAAGTATTAGTTTAGTACTTTGACACACAAATGTGGTCGTCATCAAAAAGTACAGTTCATCAATTTTTTTTAAATACATAAAATAAGGTGGATGTCTGATTCTGATTCCAATAATACCAACATCTCTTCTCTAATATTCATGATTTTGTCAGTCAAAAGGAGTTTATGTGACTCATTTTTAAAAATGAGTATAATTCAGTTTTCACAAATTGTAGATGATGACCTATATTATAGGCCATCACATTATTTTTGTCAATCCAAGAAGATCTTGTCTTCCTGTTCTTCGCATTATCAGAGGCTGGTGCAGTTCCTGGCCTGTCATGTGACCTGCTCTGTGTAGAGCAGGCCGTAGAAAGCAGAAAAAAAGCACTATTTATTAACTCTACCTTTCTCTAACCTTTTGACATCGTGAAAAACAACCACATTGATAACTTTCCCAATTCTGATCCTTGATACGTCACTTAAACCCCCCACAATCCAGAGCAGAATCTCTATCACTGTCACAGGACCAAACCTCTCCTCTCCAGAAACACAAATGAAGAGGCAGAAATCAATATTAGTTGTTAATATCGGGCAAGTTTTATTTAGTAGACCGATGCAGATATGTTTAAAAAAATGACAGATACCGATTGACATACTGTGAATCCCCAAAGCAAAACGTTTAACTTTTTATTTTATTTTTTTTTACAAAAACTGCAACTAAACAGAGAATATCCACTGCCGTCAAGATGGAGAAGTGTCTGGAACGTCATCAGTGAGGGAGGCAAATCCTCCGCCATCACAATACTAATGCAGATCATGCGGCCTTGCTGCACCGTTGTGTCTTAACTTGCTTCTCACACATGGATTTTAGTTTTGTGTCGACAAATGCCGAATCTCAAATAAAGGAATGGTGTCAATCCATTTTCTACAAATGCTTTTTTTTGTAAAGTTGTAGGGATGAAGGAGCAGTTTCTGACACACACAACAAACCCTGAAACAAGCATCTGTATTTACAACTATATGAAGAAATCAGTGTGTTATTTGCCACCTTTTACACACACATGTATCACCTTTTGAAGTCCACAAAGGGATAGAAATCAACTGCATTTCCAAACTTCTCAATAGATCAAAAACAGTCCTGAACTTTGAGCTATCAATCAATATAATAATACTATGACGCCATGTTAAACACAAGATGCTATTAGGTACAACACAGTCAAATCCCTATTAAGCCCCACAGCCTCATCAGAAGTCTCCATGGGCATACTTGAGTCATTTCTGTCAAGCTGTATCATGGCATGGCTCCACCCATCTCCACGATTGTTATTATAATGACTCAGTGCTTTTTCGGCCAGTTCTCGCTCTGTTCTCTCTGCTCTGAAAGTACCTAAAGTGCTCCCAAAGTCTAAAGATTGTAATCTGGGATGTCATATTGATGCATAGCCTGAAGCGGCTCCATTAGCGGCCGGGAAGACTGACTTTGTGGACTCCCAACAATGAATCCGCCTGTACTTTTTTTCCATCTCCGAGGAAATTTAGATGATGGTACGGCTATTTGGTGAACTCCAGAAAAGAAGAAAAGAAAAAAACACTAATTTGTCTATGTCTATCCTCCCCGCAAAATAATAATTCTTCACTGCATTCACATCGAGTTTCTCTTCCACCACCTGTATGCTACTGTAAAACAACAGACGAAGTAGTTCTACTACTACTTGCTGTGACGTACCGTCATGGCCAGACAAAAAAAAAAAAAGTAGGTTTGCAGGTTTTCCTGCCGATGGAAGGTAAGACGTTAAAAAAAAAAAGACTTACAGTTCAGTTCACTGGCACTAACACAACGCAGGTCCTGAGGCTGTAGGCCAACCCTGATGTGTACAGCTGTGTGCTGCTGTCAGACAAGACATTGCTGTTGCACAGTGTAAGCTGATACCAGGCTGACCAATAAAAACACACGACCAGAGTGTGAACAAGAAAGGGGAGGGGCTTAAGTACTATCCTGTAAATAGTACTTTTCTACTGACATTTTGGTCATTTGGACTGAATATGACACAAAGCCCTTTGGCTAACTCTGTACATTCAATACTTTTGCAACAGTTCACACACTGATCTGTTCCCAGACTTTAAAAAGCTACTATGTTTCTCCTTTATTTATTGGCAAAAACAAAAATGACGTGTTTATTATTGTACCGTATGAACGTAATCATTTTAAAGGTGGTAGACTGTCCTAATTGGATATGTGTCAAAGGGTAAAAGAGGACGAACAAAGGGCTAGCGATGCACCGACATGAAAATTACGGCCAAGACCTTGTCCTCCAGTATGCAACTTTTATTTAAGAAAAATACTTTTTAAAATATTTATTTAAGTGTCATGATCCAGTGGAAATTATAATCGGTGGAAAAATAAAGTAAGCTCCTTAGCCAAGAGGAGGGTCTTAGCGGTGTTAATCATTCTCATGTGCAAGCTGCTCACTCCCACTCTAACTCTCCCCCTCATGCTCTCTGCTGCACTACAGTGTATTCCTTACAGCACAAGCTAAGGCTAGTTAGCATGGATACAGAAGACAGCGGACAGTTTTCCTTTAAGAGTAAGTCGTTTCTCTGTCATTAGCCCATTTATCAACGAGTACGTGAGGGTGATTGACAGCACTAAGACCCTCCTCTTGGCTCTGAGCATTTCTTCTGACGGCATTTCCTCAGATGGCAATACTAGCTTAAGGAAGAAGTGGACATTGATCATTTCAGTTTACCTGTCTCATACTGTCACAACATGGAGACAGTTGTATCAAATGTTTTATCAAGAAGCATACTGCTGCTTCAACCACAGCGGACGTCTGCTGCAGGATACATGACGGTTTACAAGACATACCGCATATGGGCATACTGTCCTCCTGACTGTTTACATACAAGAAATTGGCAAAATCTGATCACATATTGGCTTTCTGACTATTAATTTTCCCAGTAAAACAACTGCTGCTTAAATAAGGAGCCAAAGGCTGGGGAGCGGCGTGGGCGAAGGGATAAAACCAGAAAATGAGAGTCGGTCCAAGACATGCGAAGAAGACGAGTCCAAGTTCTGATCTTCCTTTTTTTAAAGATGAGCTTCATCTCTCTATTAATGTCTACTCCAGTTTTTTGTGGTCAGTATTATTGCGTGACAGTTCAAAACAAAGTAAAACACAATCCGTTTCGAACAAACAATGATCAAAAAAATGCCGAAATGGAGCTGCTGGTTCTCTGCGCTTCGGAAACCTGTACTCAGCACTTCTGAGCTGCACCGTTCCCTGTAATGGAAAATGGCCTGGGTGGATAAAGCTTTGTGGGTCAGACATAATTAAGATGCTGAGTAATTGCACCAACATGTTTATATTCACATTACAGGAGCCAAGCTGCAACTGGAAAACGGCGTGCCTTAAAGTAAGAGCAACAGTTAAAAACATTAAACACCTGGAATATGCAACCAAAGCCCTACTTTCCCCTCTAACACCTGCTGGTGCGTGCATTTAGGCTGTGCAGCACAGTGCGCTCTCTGCAGCCAAGGCCTGATGGCAAATGCCACTGGGTTGGATCCTCACCTAACAGCTGAAACGAACGCTTTCTACCGGATCGCTGTTCCTTTAAGTTCTGGACCTTTTCTTCTCTTCTCTCCCGCCCTCTCTAGAGGTTTTATCACCGTGACTTTTCTCTTCCATCTATTCGTTCACCCTTTACGTCTCACACAAGGGTTGGCTGGATGTGTGGCAGGCAACTACAAAGCAGTTAGCCAAGCATCTCTTGGCTTGGTGCACAGTGAATAAGACACTCTCATTACTGCCTTTAAATAGTTCTTGGCCTGACAAAACCCATCACAGACACCAGAAAGACACAGCAGTGTCACAGGACTGGCCAAAGGAGTTAAAGGCGACTTTCACCCCAAAAACTCAATTGACATTCGAATGTGTGTGTGTGTGTGTGTGTGTGTGTGTGTGTGTGTGTGTGTGTGTGTGTGTGTGTGTGTGTGTGTGTGTGTGTGTGTGTGTGTGTGCTTGTGGCTGATGGCTTCTGCGCCCCACTCCCCCCACCTTTCTCTTCCCCTTTCCTGTTCCTCTTTAATGTCACAGGACTGGCTCATATGACCTTGAGCGACAGCGTTGGCACGGCAAGAGCGAGAGTTGCCTCGCCTGCAGGCGCCCTTGAACTGGATCTGTAAGACAAAAAATAAAAAATAAAGGGGGGACGAAAAAAAAAAAAAACCCTCTCTCACAGGCTGATAGACATCTCTTCTCTCCCCCTGGCCCAATCTCCTTACCCCTTTCCCACCTTTCCCTCCCTTCTTTCTCAGCAACTCTGTGATCCAATCAGTGCCACTCGTTATCTGCTCTCCCCGGTGGAGAAGGATTTATCGGGATGCTGTATCTTTAACCTCCCCTATCCGTCCGAGACAGAAACAGAATTTCAAAATGTCTGACTGGAGCGTGTGGATTTATTTTTAACCTCCTACTCCCTTATGCGCAAGCTCGGTGCCATTTCAGGGGAGGGGATTCTGGAGGGGGCCAGGAAGGGGCTGCTTTAGGGAATACACCTGTGCGATGAGAAGGTCCTTCGCAAACGTAGGTGTTGTTTGCCATTTGGAGGAATTCCAGACTGTCTTCCTGCTGCCTGTGCTCCGAGCCACTGGCACACGGTGACCCGCCGCAGCTTCCAAACAAACACCCAGACCTTTTGTCCTGGGGATGAGCACGGCGCTCGGCAGCCAATCAAAACTCTCCCGCTCGCAGAAGGGGCGGCGACTTGGGGAGAGTTTGTTTTGACAGGTTGATGATGATCTGCTGGGTTGCTCTGAAGACCTCGGATTTTCCAGAGTAAACACTGTGGTCCATAGTCCAAAGTCTCTGACTTCACTCTGCACTATCAAAGTCAGCTTTCTGCCTGAGAGAGGAGCACAATTCAGCGTGAAAGCACAAAGAGGGGTTTTATTGGCAGGCAAACACTAAGGCACCCTCCCTGCAACTGAGACGCAGGCAACCAAAGTTCAACTAATACAGTCAATATTTGCACTGCCCTGCTCCAAGCAATATGCTCAAAAATAAGCCTGAAAATTCAAACATTGTTAAAGTATAAAGTGTGCACATCCCTTCATTCTTTTTACATTATGTCCAAGGATAGTAGTCTGAAAATATTATATTCAATAACTATTTTGGTAATAAATCATACTGCTATTAGCCATGTTCTATGCAAAGTACTATAAAGTTGATATGTTTATATGAGTTGTATTATTGATTAATTTCACAAACTGTTAGAAAACTTGGGATTAAAGGTTTTGTGTTGGAGGGAGTATTTATATTTGCATCCAGTGTTTAGCTGCCATTGCTAATATGTTAGCACTAATGCTAACATCATAAACATTTAACGATGAGGCAGTCGTTGTTAATCAAAGGCAAGATCAAAGGGAAAGATGTGGTTGTTAGGGGAAAGATGCACATAAAAGATTAACCAATCAGCAAGAGTTTGGAATCGGCCAAAGGTTCAATTAAAAAAAAGCATCTATGATAATCCTCGCCACCATTTTCCATCAACAGTGCCTACGCAGATTAAACAAAAGCACATACTTGGATGGGCGTTATGTGATGACATTCAGGATCCCATGCATTAATCCATAAATCAGGAAAATCTCTCTTTCATGAGTCAAGTGTAGCCAATATCTACCCACTAACAATCCTTTAAAGAAAATGAGAAATAAGGAAATTCCTCCTTCCAGAATCTGAATCAGCAGGTCGGACCTTTAAGAAAAACAGAAATCAGTCAGATTGGTGCATCTTAAGTTTTTATCTCTCATTTGGAACTGAATTCATTGTTGTTTCTTTTTACCGATGGGATCTGATTGATAGCTTGATTGATTAAGTGCATTTTAAAAAGTGCTTGTAGCTGTTAAACCCACATAATTTCTACTCTGAAATATTAATTAAACTCCACAAAAACAAGATGCGTGCAAGTTGTTCTACCAATTACACCATTTCAATTCGAACTTCCGCCTTCCTTCTTGTCCGAGGTACTGATTGTCTTTAATCCTGACCTTTGGAAAATGTATTGTCATCGCATGTCATAAGCAGACCTGCTGGAAACCATCTGCTCCAGGCACAGTGGTGGCTCCCCATCACAGACACATGGGATCAAGAAAGAAAGAAAAAAAAAAAATCATGACAAAAATACAAAACTGGCTGTGGTGGCCGAGTTCTGGTTCTGACCGGTTTTCAGCTAGACTCGCCTCACCTTCTCGGAGACCGCCGTTGATCGACACGAGCAGTCTCCGCAATTAGCGTTAAGGGGCGCTGGCACAGAGACATGAAGTTCTGGGGCTAAGAATAACACTGGACAGGTCTGCTGCCCGCCAGCACCGCGGGCCCAGAGGAGAGCGGGACATGCGGACCAACACGGACTCTCGCCACTAATCCGATCCCCCCGCCACGTTTAGCCTCACCTCGGGATATCATGCCTTGTTTGTTAGCGCGACACCTCGGCTAATAAGGCTGTTTTTAAACAGAGCCAAACCAATGCGATTAGCATCAGCTGAGACTAATATAGAAAAAAAAAAAAAAAAAAAACAGAAACGACACAAATACTTAATTGGCGTGAGCGTGTTTGCTCCCATCAAAGGCCTGGGATCTACTTTTCATATCAGGGAGATGTGCTAAAATATTAAAAAGGGCCTACTGTAGAGCTCTTCCCTTCCAGAAGAGCCAAAAGGGGGGAAAAAAACAACACAGAGTCGTTTGTGGAAGCACCACAGTGTCCTGAGAGATTCATTACAGGCAGATTTGTTCCACATAGTGAAATATGAGTGAGCTCTGCTGCCTGAAAATTGCATTGCTCCATAAGTAGACCCCGACGCCTGAATAAGCCTGCGATTTTCAGTTCTAAAGGTCTTGGCTCAATATAACAGCTAGTGCAATTATTTGTGAGGAGGAGATCAAACCCAGTGTTTATCCCGCTTTGTCTGTCTGAGACACAAAGGGGTACAAAGGAGCGAGCGGCGCCGCCTGCACAGTCGATATTAAAAGTGCAGTGATTTAAGACTCTTCTTTACCTGCCACTTCGCGGCTTCCCGCCAAACGATTCCACTGGAGCGAAATCTGGAACACATGCTGCATGTGTCGATTTTGATAGCATGATCTCGCTGCCGACGCGCCGATATACGTGGCTTTACCGCCGAGGCCACAGGTAGACGGGATTTCGTCATGATTCAATGCTAAATCTATGTTTAACCTGGATTTGAGGCAAGGATTATATTTTGGCTACATTCAGTTGACAGAGATTTTAATCCACATGAACTTAATTAAATTTTACATGCAGTCATTAATTCTTCCATGAGGATGAACTGTGTCTATAAATCATACGGAAATGACAAAAACTTAACTCATTTAATCTCATTGTGATTAAATGAGTGCTTGCCCACTGAACCTTTTTTTTTTTACTATGGTAAATTGATATATTCAACAAATTTGTCAAACTAAGTGAAACAAATATAGATAAATAAAATGATGTTTTTAAGCCTTTATTTCTGTTAATAGTGATGATTTTCTTCTTATAAACATATCTAAGGTGAGAATGCGGGTACGATATGTCAGTATCGACATCGGTATCGGCCGATGTCATTTTTCTGATAAGTAAGAAAGTGCCCAGATTGATACCTGATAATTATTTCCACCTTCTTGCCGTTTGTGGTTGCATTTGGTCACGTGACATTGAGTCAGTATTAGTGGTGTGGTCATTTCTTTCATGACGTTGAAAAGGAGTTAGAACAGACACAGATAGTATTGGTCGATATCGGTTATCAGCAATAACAGCAACATTAAATATCGGATGACTGTATAGGCCCAGATTTTCACACTGGTACACCCCGGGTCGGAATACCACATTAGAAGATTTAAAAACCATTTCAGAACAGAAATGTGGGTCACTCAAGTTATTTTGAAAAAATACTTTTAATAGGCCAAATCTCATCAAGACCCATTGATCATAATGTATTGAATATGACTGTGTACTTGGACTAAAAGTTAACTTTTTGGACACGTTCATAAACAAAGTAGTGGTTTAGTCAGCACTGACAAGCAAAATAAGGAGGAGTTAGAGCAGTGCTTCCACTTGGAATATCCTAACTACATATCCTCTTTATTCGATGAGCTACACAGTGTGTGTACTGGTAATGGTTTTATTGTCGATGCAATTAAATTAATTACTTTTTTTTAGTAGTACAAATAAAACTCCTACCTTATCTACCTCTGAGACGTTCTGTCAGCGCTCTGCCTTTGTTTTACAAGCAACTGAGTCACAGAGGTACAGTTGCTTTACGAGGGTGTACTAGTTCGGGTAGAAAGCGACGGTTCTGGAACAGTGACATGTTTCTTTGATGGCAAGCTGAACGTCGACTCAGGCGATCTCAGAATCGTGTGCTGTTGTCAGTGGCACAGCCTGCAAAGATGCTACGGCAACATCTGCTAACAAGTTGAACGTTAGCAGGACTGTTGTGAAAGATGTGCGTCGTTTTCATCCGCCGTTACATTAAAATACGGTGATGTGTGTTATGCTTTTACACTGTTCTGCCAAGTTTGGGGATTTTAGTTCTCCAGCAAACAAAATTAAGTTAGGACAATATTACTAAAAACTGTGACAACAAAAAAAAAATAATCAATTTGTTTTTGCATTTAAGTTTGCGGTGCTCAAGCTTTTTTTCTGTTGTGGAAAAAAACTGGGAACAAAACTGTGGTATTCTTCTTTCAGCCCGCTGACAGGCAGTGCGCAGCAACAGGTGAGGCAGGGGGCGGCTCCATGCACAGCGCTCCACTCACTCCAATACTTTAACAATATAATGAAAATGGTCCCACGTATCGAATCCTAGCTGTTAATCTCAATAAAATGATTTCCGTTTCAAGGAAAATAAAGCGCGACTTAAGCCAATTTTCAACTCGCATCCCAGGCTCTGACACAGATAACATAAAAAGGGGGTCATTACAGCTGAATAAGCAAATATATATATGGCTCACTTGTAAACCGTGGCTGAACTTGTTCCAGTAAATAAACTGACCTGAATAAAGCCAGGCAAATCTGGGAGAAAGCCGGATATATTTAGAAAAAAAAAAAAAAAAAAACAGCCACCGGTGTGACAAAGAAGGAGAAATGTGAAAAGAATCTTTACTTAAAACCATG